GGGATGGTTAGAGAGTCTGGGATGGACATGTACACACAGCTGTATTTAAAATGGATAACCAACAAGGACATATTATATTAATATAGCACATGGAACTCTGCTGAGTGTTATGTGGCAGCCTGGATGGGAGGTGGGTTTGGGGGAGAATGGATACATGTGTATGTATGACTAAGTCTATTCCTTATTCACCTGAAACTGTTTAATTGGCTGTACCCCAATACAAAATAAAAAGTTCGAATAAATAAATAAATGATCACACAGTGACTATCCCCAGGCTCTATGAAGGAGGAAAGGATTGTTTGCGCCTTCACCAAATGGCCCTGTTCTGTACTTTTTTAAGTTCTGGTATCTGTCTGATAGTCACAGTCCACTAAATTGATTAAAATTACTCCAGATGGGGAAAGCAGATGACCAAGTATATTTGAATTATGTCTAAATTCATGAATAGTAAATAAGATCTAAGAGAAAACGTGAGGCTCCGCTCTGCACAGGTTTTGTGCAAGGACTTTGTGACATCTATACCTTTTTAAAAATTGAATATAGTTAATTTGCAATGTTGTGTTAATTTCAAGTGTATAGCAAAATGATTCAGTTATACACATTCTTTTCGATTATTTTCTGTTATAGGTTATTACAAGATGTTGAGTATAGTTCCCTGTGCTATACAATAGGTCCTTGTTGACATCTGTGCCTTTCTGTCACTCTCTGGATTATTCAGGTTGTTCAGAAAATCCCTCCAGACGATGAGGATAAATTAGACCATATACATTGTGCAGATATATACTAATGATGGCAGTAAAAATGAGTCCCCCATAACAGTCAGTGGGGATATTTGGGGTGCCTCACAATAAAATTTCTAGATGTTATTGTTTCTGAAAAGGAGAAATATAGGGATCTAGTTATGAGGAATTCACTTCACGTACAGGGTTTTTTGTTTTTGTTTTTTTTTGTTTTTTGTTTTTTGTTTTTTGCACTGCAAATACTGCATGTTACCACCAGCTCACTCAGTGACTTGGCTTCCTTATGTACAGGGCGGAGGGGGGCAGGGATATCTAGCCTCCTGTCTCTGAGCTGCTCTCTGGATTTAGTCAATATCCAGTGTAATTCCCTATGCTGTCCACCAACACGATCCCTAGATTGACGGAGATGGCAAACTTGATGTTCTCCCAGGCAGCGTTTATGATAGAAGTCATTAGTTTTATTCAGGGTATTATAATTTGCATTTTAAATGTTTGGCTTTTAAAAGACTGTTAAGATTGCCATAACTTTTCCAAGTGATTTGCAAGTCCCGAAGTCTGCCAATTAGCTCAGATGGCCGAAGCAGCGACTGCTTCCCGTCAGAAAGGCTGAATCATTGAAGAACGACCACCCTTCTGGAGCTAAATGATTCACCAAGCCAAGCTACTTCGCACATTGGGATAAGAAGCGTAGGCTATCAGATTTCCGTTCATACTTCTGCCCCTTCTGCTGATTTTGCTGTAGATTCTCTAATAGAGGCTTATTTTTTCCTTTATTTTTTTCCCCAAAATTATATATTCTTGTTAGAAGCTCAAACTGTACATACTTATATAATAAATACAGAAAGTAGAAAGTTCTGTTTCCCCTCCCTAGAGAGAGCTACTCTTAACAATTTTGTGAATAGTCTTCCAGATATTGTTTTCTAGTCTGTATATTGGGTTGACCAAAATGTTCATTTGGGTTTTTCCATACGATCTTATGGAAAAAACTGAAAGAACTTTTTGGCGAACCCAATATCACCTTTTTTTTTTTTTAAGCAAAAAGAGATTGTGTTTATATATACTGTTTTGCAACTAGGTTTTGTCTCCTAGCAATATGTCTTGGAGATGTTTCCATCTTGTATATATAGGTCTATCTCATTTTTAACCATGGTGCTCGTTTCCATGGTATTGTCACATCAGAAACTATTTAGTTAGTCTTCTCCATTCTTCGTCTGGGTGCTCCCAAAGCTGATCCTAAGACAAGACTTGGATGCAAGCAGGCTACTAGGAAGGTGATCCCAGGAAATACTGTAAGAGATTGGGCAAGTGAGACCAGAAAGGGAGGCAGGCCAGTGAAGGATGATCCATGAGTGGGTAACTGGAGCTTGGGAGGCAGGACCACCATCAGGTTCACTGATTCTCCAGGACTCACAGAACTCGGAAAGGCTGTTATACTCATGGTTACAGTTCATTGCAGTGGAAAGATACAGATGCAAATCAGCAAAAGGCAGAGTCCAGGAGAGACCAGGCATGAGTTACAAATGTCACGTGGACAGCATTTCATCCTCCCAATAATGACATGTGGCAACATGCTCGGAGGATCACCAACCAGGGAAGCTCACTGAAGCCTCTGTGTCTAGAATTTGGATTAGGGCTCAGTCGTGCAATCATGGCTGACAGTCTGGGTGGCTGACCCTAGTCCCCAGCCTTTTCTGAGGTCAAGTTGCTCTTGTGTGGCCCAAGGCCCCTATGAAAGTCATGTGGTCAGCATATACTGGCATGTCCCAGGCAGAGAGCAGTGGGTGCTTACGGCAGGATGCCAGCAACAAAGGCTACGGGTAGCCTCCAGGGTGGGCAGGATATTAACAGCCTCAGTCATATTTCCTCATGAAGTGTTTCTGTTGTTTCCATTTTTCATGCTCACAAATGATGTTCTAGAAGAGGGGTTGGCAAACATCTTTGTAAAGGACCGGATAGTAAGTATTTTCAGCTTTGAAGGCCACACAGTCCCTCTTGCAGCTACTTAACTCTGCTGCGAAAGCACAAAAGCAGCTGCAGGCATTGTGTGAACAAACAGATTTGACTGGGTTCCAGTAAAACTTTATTTACAAAAAACAGGTACAGACCAGGTTTGACTTGAGGGCTCCTACGGTGGATAATTCTTTTACGTGTGTCTTTATCCCTTCATGCAGGTAATTCTACAGGACAGATCTCTGGAGGTAGAATTGCTGGGTCTTAAGCAATGACATTCTTATTTTGAGCAGATACTCTGCCCAAAAGATGAAACTGCTTCCTCTTTCACCAACAGTACCTGAGAACATTTGAGATTTCTTTTCTTAAAACCACTTCCCAAAGAAGCAAAACCAATACTCACTTACTAGGCTGTTTCTCCATTTTCATTCTTAAGTTTTGGAGAGGCAGAGGTAGATAGAACATTTTATCCCCAAGGAGAAATTCCAAATGGGGTCTGAAATGGTCTCCTGATATCTTGCTTTAGATGTGAGACCTCCAGGGAAAGGGACACTGGTAACGTGTTTTCATTTGGTGAAAATTTAACCTTCCATTCCCCACGAGGTGTGGTTCAAGAGTCCTGCATGTTGCCTCTTCAAAAAAGTTGTGCTTCTTTGTTTATTCAGATGCATCAAAGAGCTTCTCAGCAATTTCCTTTATTAAGCAAAGATTCTATTCCTAATTTTTCTCATCTGTAGGGGATTTCCCTATAAATAAGGTCTACCTATGCATAGTGACCACTTTATCAGATGTACAAAAAATGAACACGGTCCAGTTTTGTTCACGGAGCTGATAGGTATGGGACACTGTTGATGGAGAGGTCACTTAACCCAGTTCACTCTTGGTCTTTTGGGGCTTAAAACAATGGATAGAGTTTTTGTTTTTCCACTTTTCTCTTTTTCCCCTTATTTTTATCATTTGAAATTCTTGATGTGAATCCCACAGAGGAGAACAGAGATTTGTTAGTATTCAGTCTCTGTTTTGGGGTTGCATATTTTAGCTGGTTTGTTTGATAATGGGCACCCCTTCTGGGATCTGCTCGCCTGCGCTCTGCTCACGCTGGGTGAATCTTTGATAGTCCCCATTCTGTAGTCCTTCATTTATAACACAGACAAACACAGCCTGCTTTCCCGTCAGCAAGATGGCATGCCCTGACTCCCCACATGCAGATAAGGAATTAGGCAGAACTCGGCTGGGAAGATAAATCAAGCTATCTCATTAGGCTTGAAAGACACGAATTAAGCGTGCATGGGAATTAGCAGCCTTCTGAAGGGACATTCAGTGCAGCAAAGGGAGAAGAAATTGCCAGAGCCCTTTCTTTCAGGAACCTGGTCTCTGCAGCCTCTTTCATAAAGGTCAGCAGGTAGAAACTGAGGATTGAAAGAGCAGTGTAGTGTTTGTTGAGCACTTATTAAGTGCCAAGGCTGCACTTACTAAGAAGAGGGTGGCAGAGGATGAGGGGCTTGTCTCAGGGGTCCCAGAGCTGTCGAATGACAGAGCCAGGATTCACTCTTGGCAACCCCATGGACTGTATAGTCCATGGAATTCTCCAGGCCAGCATTCTAGAGTGGGTAGCCTTTCCCTTCTCCAGGGGATCTTCCTGACCCAGGGATCGAACCCAGGTCTCCCACATTGCAGGCGGATTCTTTACCAGCTGAGCCACAAGGGAAGCCCAAGAATACTGGAGTGGGTAGCCTATCCCTTCTCCAGGGGATCTTCCCAACCCAGGGATCGAACCAGGGTCTCCTGCATTGCAGGCTGACTCTTTACCGACTGAGCTATGAGGGAAGCCCTAGGATTCACCTAGGATGTCTGTTCTCATGGCCTACAGCTTAACCAGGTGGTCCTTATCTGGGGTGAATTGAGCCCCCGGAGATACTGGGCCATGTGTGGAGATTTGGGGATTGTGACCGCTGGGCTGGGGGTGCAAATGGCAGCTGGTGGGTGGAGGCCTGAGGTGCTGCTGGACAGCCTCCAGCGCACAGGCTGCCCCCACAGAGAATTAGCCAGCCCCCCCGCGTCAGCAGTGCGGCCTTCAGAACCTGGTTCTAGCACTCAGCCGGACCCCAGTGGCTGTCGTGCCCTGAGGGCAGCTTGGTGAGGCTGCAGGGTCAGAGGTCAAAAGCTGCAGCCGAGGGACCTCGTGGGAGGGGGAGGAGGGAATCGGGGACTTCTCGGGTTAAAGGAAACAGTGGCCTGGAAGCAAGGGCTCGCTCCTGCCGTGGAGGCGTGTGGAGATTAACGCCTCTGTCCTGCCCCCCGCCCCTCTAGTGTTCGGCCACAACATGAAGAGCAGCAACGACTTCATCGGGAGGGTTGTCATCGGCCAGTACTCCTCCGGGCCCTCGGAATCGAACCACTGGCGGCGGATGCTCAGCGCCCACCGCACGGCCGTGGAGCAGTGGCACAGCCTGCGGTCCCGGGCCGAGTGCGACCGCGTGTCCCCTGCCTCGCTGGAGGTGACCTGAGGGCCACGGGGACGGCAGCTGTCGTCTATGGAAAAAAGGAAGAAAACTTAGGACAAAAAAAACATGCCCGATGTGTATACTGTTCCATCCACACACACACACACACACACACACACACACACACACACCCATACACACCCAACTCCTCTCAGAACTGAGAGGACGTGGACTGTTGATCACATACTGGCCGCCCTTGAGGAGCGAGGCCTGAGAACTTTCCAGAAGCCCCATCCATCCATCAGCTGCGAGCTGAGCGGGCTCTGCCGTGAGACTTATGGGCAGTGCTTGCTCTCGTGGACCCTCCCGCCCCAAAATGCACTTTCAACCCTCAGGCCAGAGAAAAGACCTCCCCGAGGGTGCCAGCCTCCACTGAGATGAAATTTTCCAAGAGTCTGGCCAGTGTCTCGGAGTCGGACACGACTGAGTGACTGACACTTTCACTTCACTTTCACTTTGGCCGGTGTGGGGAGGCCTGATCCCCCCAAACCCAAAATGCGCACCCACTGGGTGACTCCCGAACCGTCTGCTGTTCCCAGAGGTTCCTCAGACCTGCTACCTTTCCCCCAACGTGTAAGTACTTCGTCTTCTCTTTAGTGGGTGTGATACATAGATTAGACTATTTGAGGAAACCAAATGGCAACAAAAAATACTCCAGTGTCAGAAGCCGCTCCTGGCCTCACTGAAGCCGTCCTTGTGTTAGCTTCTCCCTGCGGACTCCCCGTGGAGGTGTGTGTGGATGTTCTGGCATGCGTGCCCTCACGTGAGCGTGTGTGTGTGCCTCTGTGTCCCGTTGGTGAGCAAGGCGCTGGCCGGTACCTCAGGCCCGAGCACTCCTTCTGTCTGCCTTGCCCGTCAGTGAAGTTTCACCCACCGCCCTCTTGTGTGTCAAGACCCCACCCTCAGTAACAGTAGCGTGTGTGAATAGCAAGTTAATAGAATACGATAGAGCAGAAGTAACATTTTTTGACCGAATCATGGCGACTGTGACTCCCAGAAGACATGCAGAAGACGGTTACACGGAATAAAATGGCCACCACGCCCACCACGCCCCCCTCCAAGAGTCTCCCTCCTTGTCACACTCTGAGGGTCTCGCTGTGTTTCGTGTGTGAACCAAAGTCACTTCTCTCGTGCTAAGAAATTAGTGTAGTTAGAATAGATCTCTTTCTCTCTCTCTCTCTCTCTCTGTTGGATGCTTCTGTATCTTTTCCCACAGTGTATTGTCTGGTATAATGGGGAGCTATTTATTGAAATTAAAGATTATTTATTTGTGCCATGCATTTGAGTTATCTTTTTCTTCATGAGCACGGGCATGGAGGGTAGGAGGGTATTTCAGTTACTATCTCTGTGTAAAAACTCAAAGCACTGGTGTTTATTATGCTCACAGGTCTCATGGGTCCAGAATTCAAACCAGGCACAGGGATGGCTTGTCCCGGCCCCATGATACCTACGGTCTGAGCTACAACACTCAAGGGCCACAGTGGGTATAACCAGACAGCCAGTCATGCTGGACATTGTTGGTAAGACTCGTGTGTGGTCTGGGCAGGAAGAACAGTTAAAATGTTAAGGTATATTCATCTGACAACTGACAGGAGAACTTGTGTAAAAGAAGATAAGGATTTATGTTAGGTCCCTCCTGTTAACAAGCAACAGGAAATTAACACCAAATTGTTTAAACAACAAAGGAAGTCCTGGCTTTAGGCATAGCTGGATCCAGGGGCTCAAATGAGTAATCAGGGCTGTTTATCACTCTGTCTCCTGGACAGGCTCTCCCCATTCAGGGAGCATCATGGTTACCAGCACCTTAATAATTCCAACTCGTACTCATCATTAAGACCCAGCTTCAATTGCCAAGACAGAAATAACAGCTCCTTCCTGTCCTCCCCACAAGAAGCTTTTATTTCTGTTTAACTTTTATAACAACAACTACCTCTAATTGAAGCCTTACTGCATGCCAAGCCCAATGCCTGCATAGCCTTATTTAATTCTCACAACAACCTCTTGACAAAGGAGCTATTATTATCCCCCTTTTCCAGATGTGGAAAGTATGAGGTTTTTTTTTTTTTTTTTTTTTTAATAAAACTGTTGAGGACAAGAGCCATGGCTCCTTAGCTTTCTATTAGCCATGCTCAGTAAAAGGGGCTTGACCTAGGTAAACCTAGTGGACTGAGATGGATCCACTCCTGGCCTTATTGGGCTTTCCAGGGTCCCCTCGTGGGTCCTCTGGTGCCTCCCACTCTGGGGTGGAGGTGGCGTGAAGGTCAAGGAGGAAAGATAGGGATGTTGCCTTAGGTTATGTTTCTAAGGAGAGAAAAGGAGAAGCTTTTCCTACTTTATAAAACAACTTCCTGCCCATGATTGCACAGAAGAGGAGAGAAATATGAGAGAATAAACAGAATGAGGGAAGACAGGACTAGAGATGAGGCTACATGGTGATTGGTCTGGGCCCCAGTTTCCTCATTATCTTACGTGGGGCACTTCAGAGGCTGATGTTGAGGCAACGACTTGGGTTCAGTTCAGTGCAGTTCAATTGCTCAGTCGTGTCTGACTCTGCAATCCCACGGACTGCAGCACGCCAGGCTTCCCTGTCCATCACCAATTCCCGGAGCTTACTCAAACTCATGTCCATTGAGTCGGTGATGCCATCCAACCATCTAGTCCTCTGTCATCCCCTTTTCCTCCTGCCTTCAACCTTCCCCAGCATCAGGGTCTTTTCAAACGAGGCAGCTCTTCCCATTAGGTGACCAGAGTATTGGAGTTTCAGCTTCAGCATCAGTCCTTCCAGTGAATATTCAGGACTGATTTCTTTTAGGATTGACTTGGGTGCAAGGACTTGGGTGTGATGGTTTATTTGGGAGGTGACCCCAGAAATCATAAATGGAAGGATAAGTCAGGGGCAGGAGGAACGCCATCAAAGCCTGCTTTAACTGGCATTGTGGGCAGCTAGGGCTCAGTCATGCTGGGGACCCACATATTAATAGAATACACTTGAGAGTGACCACTACAGGGAAACTGGACTTTTTAGCTATTCCATCTTATTGCTCAGGGCCTGAGGCGTGCCCCCATTGGCATCCACTGTTGGACACTTTAGCACTCACTGTCCTTTTGGGCTGACTTGGGTAGCATAGAGAACTCCCCGGGCAGAGAACAAGGGTGTGCTCGAGCAGGTAAGCTGTCCCCATGTGCAGTCCAGCCCACAGCAGCCTCGTGGGCACTCGGGTGACTGAGGGTTGCAAGTGGGGCATCCCCAGAACCTGCTGCCCTCGTTCCCAATAACCAGAGGGCTGACCAAGCACCGTGCCAAGTGCTAAATGTCTCATTTCATCCTCCTGCAGCAACCCACGTGGGAGATGTTGTCAGTTCCTTCTTATAAATGAGGAAGCTGGGGCTTCATGAGATTAAGTGGTGAGTAAGCAGTGGCACTAGAATGCCAGCCCAGGCCTGGCTGACTCTAAAGCCTGGTGTGAGCTAAACTGCATCTCCCCCAAGCTCGTGTACTGAAGCCTTAACCCCCACGACCTCAGCATGTGGCTGTGTTGAGAGATGGGGCTCCTTAAAGGTGATTCAGGTTAAATGAAGTCATCAGGGTGGGCCCTGATCCAATACAACTGGTGTCCTTACATTAAGGGGAGGGGAGGACACTGAGACAGACACGCATTGAGGGAAGACGACATGCGAAGATGTGGGGAGAAGACGGCATCTACAAGTCAAGGAGAGAGGCCTGGAGACCCAGGCCGAGGACAGCGCCTTCCCAGGAACCGCTTCTTCCAACACCTGGAATTGGGACTTCCTGCCTCCAGATCTGTGAGGCAGTGAAACTGTGCTATTTGAGCCACCCCATCTCTGGAACTTTGCTGCAGCAGCCTTAACACACTTATTCAGAGCCGGTGTGGCTGACCACTGTGCTGGACTGTCTTATCTGAAAATAGGATGACCGTTTCTACCCCGCAAGGCTGCAGGTGGTGTGAGGATGAGCCAGGATAATGCCGGCAAGGTTTTAACACACTGCGCTTGCTGGCTGTTCCTACTGGACACGCGTCGGGCAGTGTTTGCTGGTTATAGACAAAACAGCAGAAGCAAAGTGTCACAGCTGTCCACGTCTCCTGATTCCTTTCCTTTCTGGATGCCCTGTCTTCCAGTGCCAGGGGGATCGCTTTCCTTTTTTCAGGGTCAAAACTACCATTTAAAATAATTAGGAATGAGCACCACTAAGCAAAAATTTTAAACTTATGCCTAGAAAAAAGACTGGAAGACATTGCCCTGAAGGTCGCAGGGGTTCTCTCTTGGGAAGTCATTTTGCTACTCAATTTTATACCTTCCAATTCAGCGTTTTTGAGGGTCCTATAGTGATCTCATGGTAGTTTAACATATGTCATGCATTTAAATGTCAGGCATTGTTCTAAGCACTTGTATGAGGGAAGGTATTGATTTGTTCCCATTTTTCAGATGAGGAAACTGGAGTTAAGAGGGATTAAATAATCAGTGTGTGGTCACACAGAAGCAGGTCTGAAATTTGAACACAGATACAGATATGTCTGAATTGGAAAGTATGAAATAAACTAGCCACTACTGTCCCTTTTATAATAGTGGTAAGGGACAGGGAACTTTATTTTACTTACTAGTAAATAAATGACAATTTTTAAAAGGTAAGAAACTAAAGGAGATGATAGATAGATGATAGGAAGAAAAAATAGATCTTTGCTGAACCCACAGGCCACCATGAGCACAGTGGCTGTCTGTGTGCATGTATAGGGTCGAGGGGAGAGTAATGTCTCTAAGAAACCAGAAAATATATATTGTGTTACAAAGAGACCTCTACAACCTCCAAATGGCAGCAAAGATCCTATATGTTAAGTAAATAAATTGTCTATGTTCTAAACAGGAAACTTGAAGTCTGGAGCAGGGGGTGCAAACTATAGCCTGCAGGTCAAATCCAGCCCACTGCTCTTTTTTGTAAATACAGTTTTACTGGAGCCCAGTCAGGCTCATTCCTAAGATTAAGAGTTGTGGCCTGCAAAGCCACTACTATCTGGCTCTTTACAGAAAAAAATTAAGTTGCAGTTATGTAGGATGAAAAAGTCTAGAGATCAAAGGTACAGCATGATAATTATAATTAATAACACAGTATTGAATGCTGGAAATTTGCAAAGGGTAGATTTCAGGTGCACTCAGCACACACAAAAGGAGATGATACGTTAATTAGTTTGCCATATCATTTCACTATATATATATGTGTATATATATATATCACATCATCATGTTGTACACCTTAAATATATTCTTCTTAAAAGAATTCTTAATTCTTCTTAAAAAATGGGATTTTTAAGAAAGTTTGCTTACCCCTGTCTAGAGCAAGGTAACGTGAATGTACATATGATTCCCTGGGGATCTAGTCAAAATGCAGATTCCAATTCAGCAGGTCAGGGCTGGGGCCTGAGATTATGCACTTGTAGTGAGCTCCCAGGAGATGCCGCCGCTGCTTGTCCATGAACCACACTCTGGACTGAGCATGTCACAAATACTTGTCGTGTTTCCATCAGAGCGGGGTCATGATCTCATTTACCAAAATCTCCAGCCATCACCTATTATCAACACGGATCATCTAGGAGGTTTATTTGCCAAATCAAAGGACCCTCCACTTTTCAAAAGCATTTCCAGTGGCCTATGTCTGATGACCCTCCTTCTCCACCTGGTCCATTCACACAGAGGGTGTTTGACACGACAGCAGGGGTCCCTGAAAGACAGTCAGCGCACCAGATGATGGAGAGTGGGAAGAAAGCATCCCAACTGTCTTCCATTTTTATATTTTCTGTATGAACTTTTTAAATAAGTCAATTTGGGGGAGGGCTGTTTTATAACAGACATGGTATATTAGTCCAGTAAGTTGTTGGTGCATATCACATATAATAAACATGTCATTTCTAAATGAATAAATGTTCATGCTCTGGGGCACACCCCCACAAAGCTTTGAGGCAAGGGGTAGAGCTCTGCTGTGGCTGAAAATGGGCCTGGGCTGTGCTCCGAGCATGAGTCAGGCCTTGGCAGGCTTTCAGCCCTGCGTGGGCTGGCAAAGCACGCTATGTGGGCACGAGTTAAGTTATTCCTCGCAGGCACAGCCGGCTGTTGCAGAGAGAAAGTGAGCGATTGGGACACGTTTTTGCCCCGTGAATGCCAGCCACATGAAGTGTCAAGGCACCTGGCTGAGCATTTCAGGAGAGAAAGGGTGGAGTGTTCAAAGAAGGCCAGGTAAAGACCTGCAAAGGAGCAATGACAATCACAGCAAAATCTGCTATCATGCATTCAACACCTGCTATTTGCCAGCTTCTATGCTGACTATTACAGACAAATGATTACATTTAAACTTGGTGAGGTAGGCAGTTATTGGGGGCTTCCCTGGTAGCTCAGACGGTCAAGATTATCTGCCTGCAGTGGAGGAGACCTGGGTTTGATCCCTGGGGAATCCAGGGCTCAGTGCCGCGCAGACGAGGTGGGGACCGGCTGAGCCCAAGTGCTGAGGCCCTGCCTGAAGGGGGCGCCCTCTCTCAGTTCAGTTCAGTTCAGTCGCTCAGTCGTGTCCGACTCTTTGTGACCCCATGGACTGCAGCACGCCAGACCTCCCTGTCCATCACCAACTCCCGGAGTTTACTCAAACTCATGTCCATTGAGCTCCGCGAAATTGTTCCCGTGAGCAAATGAGGCTTAAGTCTTGTCTTGTTAGATCTTCAGATTCTCAACAGAGCGCAGAAATCTGGACTTACACTTCAAATCTCCTGATTGTATACCCTGACAACAAATTTTTAGAAATTTTAAAACACTGCACGTGCGAGCATGCTAAGTCGATTCAGTTGTGTCCCACCCTTTGCGACCCCGTGGACTATAGCTCGCCGGGCCCCTCTGTCCATGGGATTCTCCAGGCAAGAAAACTGGAGGGGCTTGCCATGCCTTCCTCCAGGGGATCTTCTTTGCTGACCCAGGGATCAAACCTCATCTCTTACGTCTCCTGCATTGGCAGGCGGGTTCTTTACCACTAGTGCTGCCCACGCAGCACGGATCCAACAAATCACATCCACGGGTGAGTTGCCCCAGGAGACAGCTCTAGATGCGGGCTTATATTTTCACTTTGTCCAAGGGCACCAAGATGCTTTGTCTCCTGTGCCAGGCTGGGATGGGCATGCTGCTATTGTCCCATCTTACAGTCCCAAGGGATGCAAACCCACGCCCAAGGTCACTCGTGGCTTGGAAGCAGGACTGTGCTTCCTCTTAGTTCTCCGAAGAGGGCCAGCCAGGGGCCGCCTTCCAGCAGTCACTCTGAGCTGACCGCGGTGTGCGGAGAGGAGGGAGGTGGGAGAAGGAGGGGAGGGGAGAGGGCGGAGACTGGGGTCTCTCTACCCCGTCCTCCTGAGATCCGGGCAGGAGAGCCGTTGGACCCGGCAGGGCCTCTTTCCCCTGCTCAGGCCTGGAGGTGGCTTTCTCAGGGCCCAGAATGCAGAAGTCGGGGCTGTGGACCGCAGCCGTCCTGACCCTTCTCTCCGCACAGGCCTTTCCGCAAACGGACATCAACATCAGCCCAGGTGAGCACTGGGGCCAGGGTCGGGAGCAGGTGGAGAGGAGGACATCTGCAAATACTTGAGTTGTCACTGAGGCCTCACTGACTAGGCTGCAGGCCTGCCTGACCCAAGGAATGCTGGGGGACCAAGCCGAGCTTCCTGACAGCCCCCCGCCAGCTCCTCTCCCTCCAGCTGATGGACATTATCCTAGGGCCAGACCCAAAGAGACCTGGTGATAAAGCCCAGCATTGCATCTTGAAAGCTGTGTGACCTGGCACAAGTTTCTTGACCTCTCTGAGCCTCAGTTGCCTTTAGAAAACAGTGGTCACAATGGCCCTCTCTGGGGCTACTGTTCAAGGGAGATGAGATAATGTGAGGAAAATGCCTGGCACTGTAAGAAGATCTGAAAATAATGTTTTTGTTAGGGATTTGGCATCTGAGCTCCCCACCCTCACCTTGGCTCTGATAGCTGTTCCCAGGGAGCTTTGAGACTCGCTGCTGTGCTGTAGCATTGAGCATGCAGGAGGACATAGGGGTCCCTCTAGTGACCTCCCTGGTGCCTGGCCTAGTGACACTCAGCTCTGCAAATTTTCTGGATCCCCTGGGATTGGGACCCATCAGACACAGGCCTGTGGCCTCCCAGTGTCCTACTTGAAGGACATTGGGCTTCAACTCAATAGGGAGGTCAGGGTGCTGACTCTGGGGTAGGAAGGGTCCTGAGTCCTTTAATCCCTTCAAGGCAGAGGATCTTGCCTGTCACCTCTACCAGGAGGGTGCTTTCCAAACATCGTTTTAAAACTATTAATAATACCAATAACAACAACTGATGCTTGTGTAGCCCTCACTATATGCCAGGCACTGTTTTAAGCACTTTTTATATATGGATTTATTTAATCCTCACAATAAATCTATGGCATAGATACTATTTCTGTCCCTATTAAAATAGAACTAATACTGTAATAAAACATCCGTAAGGTCCCCATAAAACCATATTATTGAGCTATTACAGTGTTGGGGTGAATTTAAATAGAAAGATGATAGGATCACCAGATAGATGTCCAGGTAAACTTGAATTTTAGATAAACAATAAATCCTTTTTTAGTGTGTCTCAAATATTGCGTGGGACATACCTTATGCTAAAAATTACTTGTTTATCTAAAATTAAAATTTTACTGGGCATTTTTTAATCTAGCACCCCTAGTGATGGGGGATGTAAAGGGTGGTCAGTTCATTCGGGCAATCATCAGGGGCTCTGGTCTGCCATAAACCCTCTGAGTGTTTGTATTAGTCAGTTCAGGCTGCCATAACAAAATACCACAGGCTGGGTGGCTTCAACTACAAGAAGCATTCTGGAAGCTTCGTGTCCAAGATCAAGATGCCACCTGATCTGTTACCTCTAGAGGGCCTTCTTCCTGGCTTGCAAGTGGCCACATGGTAGAGAGAGAGTGCTGTGGTCTCTTGTCCTCTTCTTATAAGGCCACTAATCCCATCATGGGGACCCCATGACTCCATCTAACCTTTATCATCTTCCAAAGGCTCCACCTGCAAACACCATCACACTGGGGGTTTAGGGCTTTGACATGTGAATTTGGGAGGGCATGCAGACATTCAGTCCATAATGGTGTCTTTGCATCCTTGTTCTTGTGCCTCAATTTCCTCATCTGTGCAATGGGTGAACAGGAGAGAAATTGGACAGAATATCTTCAAAGGATATTTGTGTGTTCCAAGATCTTGCCTTTCTGCCCAGCATTAAGTGGAAAGGCCTGAGGCTGAGTGTGAGAGTGAGAGCAACTAGGGAAGTCCTCCTCTCTCACCGGCTTGTGCCCGTGGGACCTTTCTCGGAGCTTCAAGTTTCCTCCTCTGGAAAGTGGGGATAATAATGGTTTTGCAGAATCTTCAATGAGATCATGCAAGTGAAGAGTTTAGCACATAATAAGCACTTGAAAAATGGCTTATTACCTTACCACTTCTGCCACTGTGGTTGTTGATGTTATGAGAGAATTGGCCAGAAGACACCGTTTTCTGCTGTGACAAAAATGCCTTCTAAAAGGCACTTTCAGATATCTAGCTCCGTGCCTCAGCCCCACTCTATAGATGGGGAGACTGAGATCCCTGCCAACCCAGCAACTTTAGAGACCTCAGAGTTGGAGCTGGAAGGACGGGTCCCAGAAGTCCACTCAGCCTGATCCTTCCACATTACATTTGTGCTCACTGAGGCCTATGGAAGGCAAATAATCTGGCCAAGGTCCTCATCCATCCAGCCCAGCGGAAAGCCCAATTCAAGCCTGAGTGGACAAATCCACTAGAGCAAAGTGATTTCAGAAGAGAATGTGTGAGCTAAGTGTTTGGGTTTGTAAGTGTGAGTGTGTGTGTATGTTGATGTGGGACCAGAGAGCGCTTAGCTGGGGTCTTGGTGAGCCTGTGCAGACCATGAAGGTGGGCACACAGCCAAAACCCATCCTTACTGAGAGTGGGCCTGGTTCGTCTTCTTCTCCTGCACCAGGAATATTCCCAGCTCCAGGAATATTCCAGGGCTGAGGCTGTCCCTGCTGTAATATCATCTCTTGTTTACTAGAACGCCTATTATGAGTCAGGCACTGGCTTACCTGTGAAGTAGGCACTATCATCATGCCCATTTTACAGAGAAGAAAACTAAGGCACAAAGAGCTGAGTTTCTAACTAGAGTAATCTAACTCCAGAGTCCAAGCTCTGAGACTGGAGCACAGAGGCTTGGGCAATGGAGAGTCGCCCTCTAGTCTGGATCATAGAGTTGGATCCTAGAGTAACCCCCCTGACCTGGACACTCTAGCCTATTCCCTACCCCTCCTGTATGGTCACAAGAGCCCTCTACACACTTCTAGAATGTTCCTTGGCATGTAAGGACTCATGGTCAGGTGTGTTATCTGTTCCTCCCTCCAGCCTGTGACTTGAGGGCACAGACCCCAAGCCAAATAAGCACCCAGGAAACATTGAATTATTTGCTTAATCATGATGCTCTTAGTCAGCTCAGGCTGCTATCACAAAATATTGGGCTGGCCAAAAAAGTTCATTCATGTTTTTCCATAAGACATTTTGGAAAAACCCGAAAGAACTTTCTGGCAACCTAGTACCATAGACTGGGAGGCTTAAACCCCTGGGATTTATTTCTCACAGTTCTAAAGCCTGGGAACTCCGAAATTGAGGTGTTGACCAATTCACTTCCCAGTGAGAGCTCTTTTCCTGTTTTGCAAATAGCCACAGAGAGGAGAGAGCTCTCCTCTTCTCATAAGGGCACTAACCCCATCATGGGGGTCCACCCTTATGACATCTTATGACCCTAATTTCTTCCTGGAGGCCCCCAGCTCCAAATACCATCACACTGGGGGTAGGATTTCAACATATGAACCTGAGGGTGGGGCGCAAAGTTCAGTCCATTACACTGTTAAATTTGTTGTTTAATATGTTTGTCTTACAAATGAGAAAACAAGACTGAAAAAAGATATTTTCTGGAGGCACTGGAGTGCTTCAGACCTGAGTCTCATCCTGACACTGACACTTTTTAGCTGTGGGAGCTTAACCTCTTTGAGCCTCAGTTTCTGCATCTGTAAAGGGGGGATGAATCAGGTACCCACTTCCAGTTTGGTCTCAACAGGTATACTTAGCATGCAATGAACGGCCACTGTTACGAGCAAAATAAAAAACCACCCAGTGCTGTCTCCTCTGTATCATAAGGCCACAAGAGCAGCCCTGGAGAAGGGAAAGCAACACTCAGGCATGAGCGGCCTGGGACCAGTAGTTCTGCACGCCACAGCCGGGGCTCAATGGGAAGACCCCCAGGGGTGGGGTATATGGGCCAAGGAGGTGCTGCAGGTGACTCAGCTCTCCCAGGGGCCACCTTCCTGGTGGGAGACACTTCTGACCGCCTGGGACATCTGGGGCCCAGTAGTGATGTGGAAGGGTGCACACATGGCCCCCAGAACCCCCTTCTCTCCCAGCTGGCTCCCAAGGCTCATCTGGGTAGCAGGCAGCAGGGTAGTGTGTTTGTGGGAGGCTGGATTGGGGCCAGGGGAGCGAACAGCCAGATCGTGTGGGAAGGTGACAATTTATTCTTAAAAAAAAAAAGAGAGAGCGAGATTAAAAAAATGAGCCCCAAACGCTTCTGGCGTGTCCTCTTTCCTTAACAAGCTCAAAGCTTCCAAAAGCTTTGACTCCCACCCCAGTTGGGAGACCTTGGGGGCCTTTGGTGCTGCTAATTGAGGTAAAACACCATGTAGTTTGGCCTCTTGGTTTCCAGAGCAACAAGCTTCTTTGTGCATCCCTCCCCCACATCCCACCCCTCCTCTCCATCACCTCCAGCTTCATCCCTCTCTCAAATTCCCAGCCAGGCTGAACCATTTGCAATTCTCCAAATGCTCCCTTCTCTCTCATACCTTCGGGCCTTTGCACATGCTATGCCCTCCACTTGGAACACTCTTCTGCTGACTCTTCCTCATCCTTCAGATCTCAGTAGGGGTCTCGCATCACCCCCTCCAAGAAGCTCTCTAGGTCCCTGAATCGGGTTATGTACCACTTCCAGGTGCTCCTGTATCCTGTATAACGGGTGTTATACAACACCCTGCATTTTCCCCATCTGGGAACGGGACTCACTCTGGTGTCATCGTAATCACCAGCAGGCACCCTGCAGGCAGGGTGGGGGTGGCCCCCAGTTCAACCAGGGAGAGAAAAGGGGCAAACAAATGACAAGTTTCTGAAATAATTCGGAGCTGCTCCCTCAAGTTTTTGCCTGCATGACACAAAGCCGTATTAACTGCCTATTAATGACATTTTATTTCTGTGCTTATTTTTCTTAATGTCAGTCTCCATAGAGTGTAAGATCCATCAGGCCAGAGGTCACCTGTATATAAGATGCCACAGTATCTCTAGTACATACCAACTACCTAAGACCAAACAGGTGCTCAAATAAGACTTCCTGAACAAATAAGGGAACGTGCGAATGACCAGACCATCAAGTTTGAGACAGAGAAATAGGCTTCAATAGAACAGGA